TTTTACTTTAAAACCATTTTGATGTTGCATGTTAAAAACACTTGTGTAAACAGAATTATATTATACATAAAAAAATAAAACCATAAAAAAGAAAAAAAAATCATGATAAGGTAACATAAGATAAATATGCATATTCAGCATGATTTCATCAAATTTCATCAATATGAAAAAGTCATGTTCTGAAAAAAAAAATGTGTAGAGAGGAAAGAAGTTTCAAACATAATAAACATAACTGTATTACATACAACTACTTTCCATCTTTTTTTTTTTTTTTACGCAAATCCAGTGACCTTTTTTATTTTTCAGTGTGGGGTAGGGAACATCCGCTCACATATCCTGTCCTTCAACTAAAAACAAAACACAAAATATTTTGATTACTTCAATTTGAATTTTCTTGAGGTGAGTACAAAGTGAACAGTTGTGAATCTACCGTATTTGTGTCGTCATAGAGAGAAACAAAGGCTATTTTGCCAGTGTTCCATCGAGTCTGGTTCTCCCATTCCTTCTCAAAGCGAAAACTTGGATCTGATGGACAATGACCTTGAGCATAAATCTGAAGAGCGATTTGGAAATAGAATAAGAATTACCCTCATTTATGACATTATTATAAACATGTATAATCTTTATATCTTGAAAGATTAAAAAATCTCAATGGGCTTGGTGATTAGAAACAAGTCAAATAATGTACATTATGTGAATCTTTAAATTAACATTTTCTTTCCATGTTAAATGTAGAAGTTGAAGAACTTACAGTCACAGTGTCGCCTGAGTTCCTCAGGGTTAAAGAATGCTCAAATGTGTAGATGAGAGCTTTATCATTGTCCACCTCAATGTGGAGGCTCCACTTTCTAAGGTTTACACACTGAAATGTAGCAACAAAGAGTTCCATTATTATTTTAAATATAGAGGATTATTGTAGAGGTGGGACCAAGTCTCTGATTTTCAAGTCTCAAACCCAAGTCATATACTTTAAACTTCAAGTCCTTTTAAGTTTTTAATGTCAAATGATCAAACACAGCTTGTATTTTTAACTGAAACAAATCTTGAGACGTCCAGGGAATAATATATTTTCACCAAGTCAATAAAAACTACTGGACAGGATCTTCTTCAGGACTTTGTGTTGGTGACTGTGGCTCCCACTGGAACCATGAGGCTACTATCAGCCCACTGCTGCAGAGGCCGAACCACCGGTGCTTTATATTTTTGTTATTTATTTGCCTGGGATCCAGAATACACACTTGTCCAATACTTTACAAAGATGTGAGTCTGGTCTCCTTCCAAAGGAATTCATATGAAAGTAGTTTTGTCCTTAGAAAAGTCCTGGTCACAAATGTAGAAGTGAGAGAACATGTTTCTGTTTGATCCTGTGTAAGATTAAGCACTGACAATATTGAACTATGAACTATACAGAGTACAGTGTTTTGTGAACTCTTAAGTCAAAGGGCTCCAAGTCGTGTCCCGAGTCCCTTTAAATCTCTTAAATTAAAGGTGCATTGTGTAACTTTTCTGGTGGAGGGTCCATCAAATGCTTTTCTCCATGGAGATGTTATTAGAACATTCCAGACAAAAAAAAAACAAACTAAAATAAAATGTGATGTGACTCTGACTCAGGTCCACACTTCTGTATTGTAGCAGTCAATGTTATTGTTATACTAACCTCTTGTGTTTTCAGACGGACATATGTGCCGTACTGGTGAAAACTGTCTATGATTACAGGAGATAATGTTCTCGTTGACTGGATCTCTTGCTGCAGCTTAATTTCTTTGACCTGAAAATGAAAGAAAGAAAAAGATCTCAATGTGTGGATCTTGTGTGTGGAGTTAAATGTAGTTAAAGGACAATAAATGTTTGTAGAACAGTAGACGATGCCCAACAGCACAACAAAATAATATTACCTCATGGAGAAGTTTCTGTTTAGTTACACAAAAGAGAATCTGTGGTATTATGGCAACTCCAGCAACAAACAAACAATCCAATCATTAAACCAATGAAAAATGGAGAAATCGTCACTAGAATATCATCATGTGAAAAGTGTGAAGGCTTTCTTAGTGTTCAGAATACACTACTCTGATTGGACCAGGAAACAAACACTACAAACTACTTTCTAATGTAAGTATGCAGTATTTTATAACTAACTACACCAGGGGTGTCAAACATGTGGCCCAGGGGCCGAATCCGGCCTTCCAAGACCTTTAATCTCGCCCTCTTGCCTCTTTCCAAACTTGCCTCTTTTAAAAGACGATGGTTTTGACTGTTGACTGTCACATAAAGAAACTGACAGTGATCTACACAGTGAGTTTATACTTTACTCATACTACTTTACAAAAATCAACATTGAGATTCCGAATGTAACCGGGTGTTTAGACTGTTCGGACTCTAGTGCGTCCGTGAAGGCGTCCACCTGTGCGTCGCTGTGCGTGGCTCCCGGCGTCACTGATTAGAAAAGGCTGTGCACGCCGTAGTGTGGCCGTCGGGGCTTTTGGTGGCTTGTGAACACGGCGCGTGTAAGTACCGGACTTGTTCTCTTTCAACGTTTCTTCTAGAATTTGCTTTAATGCATGTGTCTGACTACATTTTAAAGGTTGTCTGGAGTAGGCGGTGGTGCCGGCGGCCGCTCATAACGCGCTCTGAGCCCCATGTAGAGTGCCTCCCCTCCCCCTTCTAAACTTGCAGTAAATGCTCTTTTGTTGTATATCTGGTCTACCTGAACCTTATTTTTCCCTGTGGAACAGATTGCCACTGCTGCATTATTCTTGCTCTTTATTCTTTATCCTTTTATTGTTAGTGTTGGTTTTAATTGAATGTTGTGGAACAGTAGCTGAGGTCTTGGAGGGAAGTGCAATATTTGGTCAGGGGGTCAGTGCATTGTGAGGTCAGGTCTCAGGGTTAGCACAAGTCACTTTAGCCCAAATGGGCCTCCTTAGCATGAGCACTTTCACCAGCTTGAACTTTATGCCCTTTATCGTAACGAAATCTACCTCAAATACCTTGGCACACGCACACTTTAAGTATCCAAGTTTACAGAGAACTAGCACTTTAACTTCTTGTAAATGTAGTCTTTAACTCGTGTTTGTTTTTGTTTTGTTTTTTGTATTAATGCTTGGTTTGTGATTACTAATTTGATTTGTTGTGTTTTAATTAGGGTTGGGTTAAATCCTACATTTATGACGGTTGAATGGTGTGTAATTGTATCAAGAAGGGAACAAGAAAATGAAATAGTTTTTAAAATGTTTAGAAGATTAAAGATTTGTAACTTTTATACCACACTGCTCTTGTCCTTTTTTATGCCAGAACAGATTCTGTCAGTAATAAGGGTGCTCGGTCGCAACATTACACATAGAAATGTGAATTTATAATGTTCATTCCACTTGTTGTGTTGCCTTGAGTGGGTGAGTACTCACCAGTTTAGTCTTTAAGGTTTTATTCTCCTCTTCAGCAGATGTGATGCGTGTGTTCAATTCTTCCTGTAAAAACACAGTGATGAAATAGTGCCACTGTTATGTAAAAGCATTGTGTGAAAGCCCAGTGCCTTTATTTGTATAAAACACAGACAAAACAGTAGCCTACAACCATCTTTAAAGATACACTATGTAACTTTTCTTGTGAAGGGAAGAACTGTCGTCTGTTTATTTTCACAGAATGTTATTGCTTTGTCTGGAATGTTCCACAGGAGGCATTAACTATATATATCCACAACACCAAAGTTGGAGAATGTGTGTGTGAGATTTTACGTTACCTGTTCAAATCAAATATTTTACTCTACAGTTTATTGTGTAACTTTTCTGGTGGAGGATACATCAAATCCTTCCAAACCAGACCAAGTTACAGTTCATATCTGTGGAGAGGCAACTCTGCTCACAGCCAGAATGTCTGTTTTTAGAAAACCACCTGTAATTGAATAATTTACTGGGTGGTGAGGAAGAGAAAAGAATATTGTAAGAGTCATTTGTCTGTAAATTGTAATTGTTGCATTGTGCTCATGTACATTTAAAGTTAATCAGCAGTGAACATAAAGTCTCCGTCTCATTTATTTATTTCAGAGCAGATTTTTCCCCACACAAATATTTGAAACTGTTCTGAGTGGTTGTTCCAGCCCAAAACCTGCTACACAATATAACAAAGTTTAATTTCACTGTAGAGTTATGGTCAAATACATGTCACTGTCACATAAAGAAACTGACAGTGATCTACACAGTGAGTTTATACTTTACTCATACTACTTTACAAAAATCAACATTGAGATTCCGAATGTAACCGGGTGTTTAGACTGTTCGGACTCTAGTGCGTCCGTGAAGGCGTCCACCTGTGCGTCGCTGTGCGTGGCTCCCGGCGTCACTGATTAGAAAAGGCTGTGCACGCCGTAGTGTGGCCGTCGGGGCTTTTGGTGGCTTGTGAACACGGCGCGTGTAAGTACCGGACTTGTTCTCTTTCAACGTTTCTTCTAGAATTTGCTTTAATGCATGTGTCTGACTACATTTTAAAGGTTGTCTGGAGTAGGCGGTGGTGCCGGCGGCCGCTCATAACGCGCTCTGAGCCCCATGTAGAGTGCCTCCCCTCCCCCTTCTAAACTTGCAGTAAATGCTCTTTTGTTGTATATCTGGTCTACCTGAACCTTATTTTTCCCTGTGGAACAGATTGCCACTGCTGCATTATTCTTGCTCTTTATTCTTTATCCTTTTATTGTTAGTGTTGGTTTTAATTGAATGTTGTGGAACAGTAGCTGAGGTCTTGGAGGGAAGTGCAATATTTGGTCAGGGGGTCAGTGCATTGTGAGGTCAGGTCTCAGGGTTAGCACAAGTCACTTTAGCCCAAATGGGCCTCCTTAGCATGAGCACTTTCACCAGCTTGAACTTTATGCCCTTTATCGTAACGAAATCTACCTCAAATACCTTGGCACACGCACACTTTAAGTATCCAAGTTTACAGAGAACTAGCACTTTAACTTCTTGTAAATGTAGTCTTTAACTCGTGTTTGGGTTTTTTTGTTTTTTTTTTGTATTAATGCTTGGTTTGTGATTACTAATTTGATTTGTTGTGTTTTAATTAGGGTTGGGTTAAATCCTACATTTATGACGGTTGAATGGTGTGTAATTGTATCAAGAAGGGAACAAGAAAATGAAATAGTTTTTAAATGTTTAGAAGATTAAAGATTTGTAACTTTTATACCACACTGCTCTTGTCCTTTTTTATGCCAGAACAGATTCTGTCAGTAATAAGGGTGCTCGGTCGCAACATTACACATAGAAATGTGAATTTATAATGTTCATTCCACTTGTTGTGTTGCCTTGAGTGGGTGAGTACTCACCAGTTTAGTCTTTAAGATTTTATTCTCCTCTTCAGCAGATGTGATGCGTATGTGTTCAATTCTTCCTGTAAAAACACAGTGATGAAATAGTGCCACTGTTATGTAAAAGCATTGTGTGAAACCCAGTGCCTTTATTTGTATAAAACACAGACAAAACAGTAGCCTACAACCATCTTTAAAGATACACTATGTAACTTTTCTTGTGGAGGGAAGAACTGTCATCTGTTTATTTTCACAGAATGTTATTGCTTTGTCTGGAATGTTCCACAGGAGGCATTAACTATATATATCCACAACACCAAAGTTGGAGAATGTGTGTGTGAGATTTTACGTTACCTGTTCAAATCAAATATTTTACTCTACAGTTTATTGTGTAACTTTTCTGGTGGAGGATACATCAAATCCTTCCAAACCAGACCAAGTTACAGTTCATATCTGTGGAGAGGCAACTCTGCTCACAGCCAGAATGTCTGTTTTTAGAAAACCACCTGTAATTGAATAATTTACTGGGTGGTGAGGAAGAGAAAAGAATATTGTAAGAGTCATTTGTCTGTAAATTGTAATTGTTGCATTGTGCTCATGTACATTTAAAGTTAATCAGCAGTGAACATAAAGTCTCCGTCTCATTTATTTATTTCAGAGCAGATTTTTCCTCACACAAATATTTGAAACTGTTCCGAGTGGTTGTTCCAGCCCAAAACCTGCTACACAATATAACAAAAAGAAACTGACAGTGATCTACACAGTGAGTTTATACTTTACTCATACTACTTTACACAAATCAACATTCATATTTAGATTTCATAGTGTTGCCTTGAGTGGGCGAGTACTCACCAGTTTAGTCTTCAAGGTTTTATTCTCCTCTTCAAGAGATGTGATGTGTGTGTTCAATTATAAAAAAGCATTGTGTGAAAGCCCTGCTAAATAACTGCTAAATATGCCCAAAGAGATGAAGAACACCCCCAGCATGATGTTACTGCAAAGTATCAATAAAAATAAAGGCTGTGGCAGTAGTACTTTTTCAAACTACTAATTGTATCATGACTACCTTTGAAGGCGTCTCTTCATCCATGTCATTACAGGTAGGTTCTTCCAGCTTGGGTTCATCAGTTTCTGTAAAATCAAATCAAATCAAATCAAACTTTATTTATAAAGCACTTTTCATACAAAATGCAACACAAAGTGCTTTACAGTGATTAAAAACAGTCCCGCATTTCCAACCACCCAAACACCCAACCACCAACCCAACCCCCGCACCCCCAACCCCACATAGTCAAACAACCCAAACACACACACTCACATACACACAAACATGCACACACACACACACACACACACACACACACACTCACACTCACACTCACACACACGCTAAAATACATAACCGGACACAATAAAATGTGAGTATAATAAATAATGAAATACTTTCACTTCATGAATGTTTGTAGAATGATCTTAACAAAATAATATTAACTTACGGGTTTTCTGTTTAGTTGCACGAAGGAGAAACAACAACAAAATGATGGCAGCTCCAGCAAAAACAACCAATCCAACAGTTAAGACGATGAAGACTGGAAAAATCTTCACTCCAAAAACATCATCTGAAATAATGAAAAGAGACATTTTTACTGTAAAGATTAAGACAATGTTCATAAATGTTTGAGCTGAGTCTAAACAGAAGCGGTGAATAAAGAGAGAAGTCACACTAACTGACGAGGAACGAGCTTTCAAAATAAAAGCAGATGTAGGGTCTGGAACCAGACCACTGAATATGTCCAATTTTGGGACAGTACGCTCATTTGTGTCCTTCAAATGCAGAAGAAATCTCCACTCACATATTCTTGTATCATTCAGAAGAAAATATACAACTTCTACCTCAAAAGACACATCACATCTCAATGTGAACAAAAAATATGCTGGATATTTATACAGATATGGACAAGGAGCAAGGATTAGGAACAAAAGGATGCAACCTCTTTTAATGGAAAGAAAATGTTCAGCCACAAAGAGCTTCATTTTATAGACATCCTGAAAATCAAAGTGAAATAATGATGTGACAGGTGTTCTGCCATCATTGATAAAGGTGTACCGCAAGGATCATCTTTTGGTCCTCTGCTGTTCTCAATTTTCATTAATGACCTGCCCAAATTTTGTCCTAAGTCCAAAATTCATCTTTACGCTGATGACACAGTAATTCAAAAAATCAAAGGTTTACTGTCTAAATCAGACTTGGAGAAACTTATCCATGCGTTTGTCTCCAGTAGGTTAGATACTGTAATGTTCTGCTCACTGGTCTCTCCAAACGAGCTGTGAGACGCTGCAGAACATCCAGAACGCTGCAACTCGGGTCCTGAATCGAACTAGGAAGCACGAGCACATAAGTCCTGTGCTCAGGTCTCTGCACTGGCTCCTGTGGCTCAGAGACTTTAAAGCAGCTCTGCTTGTACAAGTCTCTCCATGGCCGAGCACCAACGTACATCTGTGACATGTTAGTGTCATATGAACCATCTCACACTCTGAGGAGCTCAGGGACCGACCTCCTGCTGGTGCCCAGAGTCACGACTAAACAAGGGGAGTCAGAGTTTCAGGTTCATGCAGCTAAAACCTGGAACAGTCTGAACATGTGAGACAGACTCTTCTGTGACGCTGTTTAAATCCAGACTCAAAACATTTCTGTTTAACTGTGCAAATAACTGAAAGGTTTTCATTCCGCACTCTTCTCTCCAATTTATGTCTCTCTTTTTAATTTTAATCTTCATGATTATTTATGTTTTGATTTGTTTTTATTATGATTTTAATGTATTTCTTATTCTGTAAAGCACTTTGAATTACTTTGTGTATGAATTGTGCTGTACAAATAAACTTGCCTTGCCTTGCCTTTATTCTTCAGGTAATGATATTGCCCAAATTCAAAGAACACTACAGTCAGATTTTATTCTGATTCAAAAATGGTTCACCAGTAACAAACTTTTCCTTAATATGAAGAAATCATATCATATGCTATTTAATTATAAAAATGGTGTTGATAGCAACAACTATTTAATTAACTTTATTGATGGAATCCCAATGGTAAAAGTTGACCACTTTAAATATCTCACAATTTAATTTTAACTTACACATAGTTAAGGTTACAAAGAAAGCTTCTAACCAGCTGAGGATACTATACTTAAACATTCATTGTTTCACTTTATCTGTCAGAGAAAGAATTGCCTCATAATTACTTCTACCAATACTCGACTAAGCAGACATATATTTATCAGAACACCTCAGCATCTAACCTTCGATTGTTAGATGTCATGTATAACAGTATATATAGGTTTGTGTTAAGATGTCCCCATAGAACACAGCACTGTCAAATGTATTCATCACTCAGCTGGCTCTCTCCTACATCCAGAACACAGCTACACTTTTTGCAATTTGTGTTTAAATGTTATTACTCAAAGTTCCCACTCTACTTAAAAGAGTTTTTGATTCCATTTAGATCAGCATATCTATCTACGTCACACTGAACAATTATTTTTTAATGCTCTTATTATTTAAAAAAAAAAGAAATTGGCCGCAGAGCATTTAACTTCAAAGCTCCAAATGAACGGAACAACTTCCCCTCCTCAATCTGATCAGTTACATCAGTCCTCCAGTTTAAGGCATCAGTCTTCAGATACTGACAAACATCCTGCTCCTGTTTTAGATAAAAGTACAGTTTTGTTCTATGTACTTTCTGTTGTACATACAGTTGCTTTTTTCTTCAAATATGTACAAATATAGGTGTGGTGATGATAAAATCAGAGAGATGTATGTATACTTTAGGATTCTTGTATAGTATGAATGCTGTCTGTGTGTTGTGAATGTTGTCTTTGTATTTGTCTTTTGGTCTGTTTTGATTTTTTTCCCCTTTTTTTTCTGTAAATGCTGCTTTTGTTAATGTATTAGGACACCCTTGCAAATGAGATGCTACATCTCAAGAGGCTTCCCTTATAAATAAATACATAAATAAACTAAATAAATAAATACATTTAATTTCTGCAGCTCAAAATGCTTCTCAGTCTCTTGTGTGCCCCCACATGCTTGTCTGCATGTCAGGCAACATCATGGCTCACTCCTAATGAGACGCCAGATTCTTGTGGGATGTCCTCCAGTATCTATGTAAGGGCCTCGCTGAGCTCCTGTAGAGTCTGAGGAACAACCTGGCAGTGTCTGATGGACCCAAACATAATGTCCCAGAGGTGTTCTATCAGGTTTAAGTCAGGTGATCGTGAGGGTCATTCAGTTGTCCCAATCCGTTCATCCTCCAGGTACTGCCTGTATATTACTACATCAGCATAGGGTCTGGGAGCAGATATGGGTCCTGCTGATGGGTTGAGAACCTTCTACGGCCCTGTCCAGCTCTTCTAGAGTAATAACTGCCTGTCTCCTGAAATCTCCTCCATGTTCTAGAGACTGTGCTGGGAGACACATTAAATCACCTTGTAACAGCACGTCCTGCTGTGCCATCTTCGACCAGTTGGGCAATCTGTGCTTCTGTAGGATCTGTAGGAATGGCTTCATACTTCCTGTAGTGGTAATGACTCTAGCCAAAGCAGCACTAGTGGAAAACCAGCCAAAAAAGACCAAGAGGGAGAAACTTAAAGGGATAGTTCGGGTTTTTTGACATGAATTTGTAAGGCATTTGTACTGTCATGCATGAACACTGACTCA